TACAAAAGCACAAAAACATAATTTGAAATATATCAATATTTCCAAACTTACCAGTGATGTTAGCATCTTGTCCAAAAGGGCAGCAAACACTCTGTGTTGCATTATGATACCAATCATACATAATATTACTAGGAGGACCAGCAGTTGTAGCACAATTTAGTGTGATATCATCTCCTCTGTCCAATGTTATATTATTGACAGGACTAATGGTTGAGAATCCCTCAGGTGATGCTAGTGAGAGATGAAGTAAATTATAATTATAGGACTTTTAATAAATAAATGCATACTTGTAATTCTTGAAGTAGCAGTATCACTTCCAGCAAGATTTGATACTTGACAAATATATGTACCAAAATCTGCTCCAATTACATCAGTAACAGTAAGTGTACTGGAAGAAGTTGATTCTATTATGAATCGTCCTCCATCACTGATTTCATTAGCATTATGTCTCCAAGCAAAAGTATTTCCTGGTCCTCCTCCAGCAGAGCATGTAAAGGTTACATTGGTACCACCACTGACTGTGGCACTAAAGGGAAAGATCATGACACTGCCTGCAGGACTCACTATTTAGAATACAAGAGGAAATGCAGTTCAAAGAGAAAGAGAGTAACACTAATACTGGTATATTGCTTAAATCTTACCAGAAACAATTGCTGGATTAGAAGCAGTCTCATTGATAATATTAGATATATTAGTATATGCAATACAACGAAAGAATCCATTAGTAGTATAAACAATGGTACCCAAATCATAAGTAGAGCCTTTACTATTAGCTATTTCAGTATATGGTCCTTCATTAGTGCTGCTTCTCTCCCAGCGATATTCAGGGTCAGGAAAAGAATCAGCCACACATGACAACATATTCACAGAGGAACCAGTAGAAGTATTAACACTCATTGGATGAGTGACAATAGTTGGAGTAATGTAGAGAGTAGCAGTTTCAATATCAAACCCAGCCTCATTGACAACAACACAATGATAAGTACCACCAACTGATGAATCAATGTTACTAAGAGTAAGGACTGGATCAGTACCAACTAATGTCAGGTTGATTGAACTGTTGATATCTAAATAAAACAAATGCAATAGCAATTTAAACATTATAATGGAGATAATTTGTTTTATAATCAAATGCCCATACTAACAATAGAAAGATATTATAATTCTTACTTGATAGAAAATCATTGAAACTCTCATCAGTTCCAGTACAGTCCTCATTACAGACTGCACCAGAGATGTTATAATACCAGTAAAATGCATTATTAGGTCCAGCCATAGTTGTACAAGTGAAGGATGGACTTGAGCCATACTCTGCTATCAGGAATGAGGGCTCAATAATGACGGAACCATCGGGAGATACTATGACAAACAAATGCAAGGAAAAAAGGGAGAAAGAGAAAAATAACATAATTATTATTGGCTAGCTCAATCATGCTATAATGGTATAATGATATATAATTTAACTATTATAATTATATTAATAATAACATGCATTCTTGAAATTCCAAATTCCATGAATGCTATGTTAAAAGCCTTAGCAACAACATAGAGATACCACTGGAATGTTTTACAAGATCAAAGGCAGTATTGTGTGCCCTACAGAAGCCACTTTGATAAATGCACTAAGGTAACCTACAGAATGCTATTTGTGCTATTTGGGTGGAAAATAACAAGCTTCGGGACAAAAATGTAATCACTGAGACGTGTAGTCATAAATTATAGATTAGTGTACATTACATTTACAAAAATTTATGATTTATAGTCAAACTTTCTACAAGAGCATCAATAATACAAGAGAATATGCAACTTAAATGTGGTACATGTAACTTTGTTGCATTTATAACCCTATGTATGTAACTTGAATGCATGAATGTTAATGGAAGACACACTGAAATCAGTATCACATACCATATACAGTAGAAACATCAGATGCAATAGAATTCAACGTTCCATTGGCAGTAACTACACAACGGTATTCCCCTGCATCCTCAAATTTGACTGAGATGATCTCAAGTTCGTTATTTGTCTCTCCTGGTAGCTCTACAAAGTCCCCACTAGTGTCCTTTTTCTCCCATTGGAAAGTTGGAAAAGGGCTAGCATCAGCGTCACAAGATAAAGTCACGTTACCATTGATTTCAGTTGTCACTATAGGGTCAGGATGGAGAGTGATATTTGGAGCAATGTACACTGTAGTTGCATTAAATCCAGAGCCAGCTCCATTTGTAACGTTACAGATATAGCAACCGTCAGTAGAATTATCAACAGAATCGATCATGTAAACTGTTTCATTGCCCACCATATCACCACCACCAGTTGAAATAAAAGCTATATACATTAATAATATCAAAGAATGCAGGTACAAATCAAATATTATGAGACTGTTAACATGACTCACCCCATGGATCAAAAGCTGCTAAATCAGGATCACAAGGGTCTTCATAAAAGTACCAGGTGAATGAATTAGAAGGACCAGCAGGAGTAGAACAAGTCAATGTGAGATTATCTCCACTTTTTACTGAAACAGCAGGTGCTCGATCAACAGTTACGTTATTTTCAGGTGACACTAATGTGTATGAAATAAAAAAATTGATTTATATAGTGACAAAAGAGCAAGGACAATAAGACATGCAACAAAAAGGATATATAATTATATAGTGTGTACATATCAAGACAAATATGCCAGTTATTATAGTGCAGGTTATATTTACTGATTACCTTGTAATGTTACAGTGTCAGTTTTCGAAGTAGAAGGTGGATTGAGGACATCAATAGTAAGCCTGCAAGTGTATTTACCAACATCACCTCTACCAATATTATTAATAGTGAGTGATCTACTGAGAGTAGCTACATTATTATTAAGCTCCTGTCCACCAACATTAACTCCTGCTTCATTATAAAAACCAATGGCATAATGGACACTTAAGCTTTGTATTAAACCAGTTGCAATACATTCAAATGTCACACTGTCTCCAAAATTCTTTGTCACAATCGCAGGGCCAGTTATGGTAACAGCTAAAAGTAATCACATATGCACTAAATAGCAATAATGATTATTCCAGAGCTTACTAGTTTGGGACTTCACTTCATTGTAAGTCAAAGTAACGAGGACTGCAGCAATAAATGCCAGTCCCTTCAACATAATTTCTCTCTCCTATAGGCACAATAACTTATAGTGTCTAATAACTTAGACTGTCAAGAGCAGTGAGTTGCTAGGACTTAAATAACAAACTGAAGCCAGACAAATGCAGGTAGAGCAGACTAATGGTAGAAGTAGAACTGTGGATGAACCATTGCAACAAAAATATCATGACAACCAGGAACATTGGTCAAGAGAAATAAATAACACAACACAGTTAGAGATGACATGCAACCATCATGCCATGCATGATGTACATACAATTAATTAAGCAACAGAATACAGCCTCTCATTAAAGTGCATCACATGTAGTGTACCACTTACATTCCCAACCATAAAGGAGACTCCTGTAGATCTATATATACAAACTTTTATCCCAAAGTGCCCAGACAAATAGAAAGCATCAAATTGGTTTTAAATTTTAACAAGTTCCCATTATAACACTAGAAAGACCAATTATATACACCACAATAATATAAAAGAGAGATGACATAAAAATGAACACTATAAGATCTTATTACAATCAACACTATGCAAAGAAATACTCAGCCATAAACAAATTAGCACAAGGCACTTCTATGTACATACACGGACAACAGTCTAAACAGAATGGCTTCAAAACTTGCAATGACTAAGATACTTTTAAAAACAACCTTGATAGAATAAACATATACAGGGTATAACACACAGTCACATGCAAAATGAATTTGTATCAGTAATATCAAGAGCAGGGAAACCTACTCTAACAACATATACCAGTATAAGTATCGAGTTAATTAAAATAATTTATACTATATAAAGTCATTTTGTACTAGCATATTGAGATTAACTAGTAAATGTAGTTAAATGCTATACGAGGGAGTGGGTCATCATTATCCTTCAATATTGCCTCCTGGTGTATTGCCACTCTCTCTGGAGGATTTAAAGGAGGAAGAGGAGGAGGTAGTTGAGGTTGTTGTAAGTGAAGGATTTGGTGCTCTTGAGTCTCTGGCTTCTAACTCATTGAGGAGAGCATTAGCTTCATCCAGTGTGTCCTGTGTGTGTTTATAAGTGGAGACAGATAATGGTTATAAATTTTGTTTTTACATGTAACCATGAATGAGCTCAAACTTTCTATGCAACATAACTGTCCTTTGGAATATTTTGCTAGTCGAGGATTCATTAGAGAATGAGAAAGCAGACGCATGAGACCAAAAATGATCATTAATCTATGAAGACATTAGAGTAGACCATATTAAACACCTTCCTTACAAGGCGCCTGCTATTATTAGACTCACTTTCCTCCGCAACCACGAGACTGCCATTTGTAATTGTTCTCCTTGAGCAAGAATGAAATCTCTGGCCTTGAAGCACTACATCTAGACACCAAGAAACATCATTATTCTTAAAGAATTTAATTTGTGCATGGTTGAAATGAACCCACAACAACACATCATTGTCCATTTGCTTGTCCCCATGATGGTACATATTTCTTCTCTTCTCTCCCTCTTCTTTGTCCCCCTCTATACCTCTTAGTTTCTCACCTGTTTGCTAATCCTACAATGAACTTAATCCCCTGGTAGATCCTCTTGGATTCTGAAATTGTCTGGATTGTCTAGAAAAATAAAACATTTTTGATGTACATACAAAAAAGTTCTCAACCAATTGTGATAAAAGAAATATTTTAGACTTGAGTAGATTAAAGTGCATGAATAGCAAATGAAAGAGGTATGCATAATTGTGATTGATGGATAGTATATTTAACAATTAAAGTGTGTCATTGATGCACATATCAGTAGAGCACATATCCATCTAGCTACTACATGAATATGCAGTTTTACTGTGACAAGGATACAGGAAACAGTAAAAAGCCACACAAGTACTATGTGTACAGTAATTAAAGTGTAGAAATGTTGACATCAACTGAATGACTTACTAAATATTGACAGTTCAGGTTTGTATTTGCCACCAGCTAGTGTAAACTGAATCCTTTTACTTTGTAAGGAGTCTTCAATTAGCTAGAGTGATAGTAATGAAGCAGTCAAAATTCAAAATGAGTCTAAGCATAGTAACAATACTGTGTATTACAGTGGGGAAATTGGGAATTAATTATTAGCAATATATTCACAAGAGTACATAATACATGCATAATAGGTATAATAGGGTTTATGTACTCTTGACATTAGTGACCGACAATTCTGTTATCTAAAGAGAGGTGACATGAAGACAATGGAATTTAATAAAGCTCATGCACAAAATAAATGTACACTATGAACACCTGTACAATACCAACAGATAATTAGTTTAGTTGTAATTGCATTCTTTTGATGTCTCTATAGCATCATCAGCCAATGAGCATGTGATAAGCATATGCAACTGGATTTATAATAATAACAATAAAAATATGTACCAGAACTTCTGTTTGAGCCTTGAAATAGCCTCAAATAGGATTTGAGTTCATTAGGAGGCACTGTTAAAATGTTATTCTGAAGAAAAGAATGAAGAGAGAGAAAAAGAGGGCGAGAGAGAGAGGGCCCGGGGAAAAGAGGAGGTAAAAAGAGTAATAAAATCAATTACTAATTCATAGCTTTGTTTTGAGTTCTCTCCTTTTAAGGTAACTAAACTTTATTTTTTCTATTTTTCAATAGTCAAGCCACAGTATCTATAAAGCAAATGAACAACAGTTATGAACTTATTTCCATCAAAAAGTCTTCCACTTGGAAGATAATGCACTTTACATTTTTATCTTTTTGCTTGCAGCCATCTTTTTCCTGTTTAAGCAACAATGCGGGGGCGTACAATTTGTGATGTCATCAGATGAATTGATGGCTGTTCCTCATCCTTGCATCTCTATGCCCGCAATTGCAGCAAATAAGATGAAATGTAAAGTGCAATATCTCGCAAGTGGAAGACTTTTTGATGGAAATAAGTGCATAATTATTGTTCATTTGTTGTATAGATACTGTGGCCTGATTTTTTGAAAAATGGAAAAACTAAAGTTTAGACTTATCCTTAATAATTAACATCACCTCATTAAATGACTTTATACGCATTTCAGATATTTAAATTAAACAAAGTCTAACTAATCATGTAAATATAAAAAACAAGACAAAATCAGCAATAAAAACAATAATGAGAGCTGTACATATTAAAGCAGTTCTTCCTACAGCTCTGTCTCTTCATCAACAAGACTCTTTTTATCAGAAGATCCTTCAGAGTTTCCTTCATTGCTTGTCTCTTCGAGAGACTTGGGCCCAGCAACAGCAACTCCCTCAATCTTTCCAAGTTTCAAAGCCTCAACAAGAGCATCATGAATGAAAACATACTCAATCTATGTTAAAAGAGAGAGGTAAAAGGAAAGAATAATCATTATATTTTTGCAAATCTTTCTTCTTAAATAATTAGTTGCTCTTTATGCTTACTTCATTCATAACCATCATAGGACGACACTTCCTCATGTACTGCACATTATTAAAGATATCAACTAATTTCTCTGACTTGATGCGAGCCATCTCAACCATAATAGCAATGAATGTACCAGTACGACCAGTACCA